AATAGTGCTTCTTATGTTGATGTAATATTTATCCCATTACCTTCTAGATGGAGCTATGGAGTTCGCCTTCATGAGATTTTCATAATAGTTACAGTTTGATACATTTATGATCTATGGTGAAAACAAAGAAGCATATTGACGACAGGTTTACTATCATTTATTGTGAAGATCAATGTTAAATGCTAAAGATGGACTGATTATAACGAAGTAATCAAGCGAACTCGAGGAAGTTACATTAGTGTAGGTCCCACAGGACCCTCTGCCTGCTTTCACTGAAAAACTTGGAAAAAAAAGTTTGTTGTTATTCAATAATCATTACGTAACCAAACAGGATTCATTTGTGAAACTAAATACAAAACAATAAAATGCTTACATCATTTCCAGGTGGTTCACCTTATCCACAGATGGATGGCAGGAAATTTGCGAAACCACTTCAGCAGGACTACAAAATGCCTAAACCACAACATGTAGATGATAAATGGTAAGGTGTCCATAATGTTTCTCATCTTTCTTATTTAGCTTTGTCGTTAGTCCCATTCAGAGAGGTATTCACTCAATGACAGTAAGTTAAAGCCACCTCTCACTGGTATTCAGGTTAAACGATTCTTCCAAAGGAATAAAAACTTCTTTGTTTGTTTGTTGAACTTATCACTTTTTTAAAAATACCAGGTACCAGATCATGATCAAAAGCTGGCAAAACGACCCGGATGCTCGCCCAACATTCACTGAGTTAAGAAACCATCTTAAGAAAATGGAAACCCTACACAACGCGAGACCTGTGATAATGATGACGTAACGATCTGATTTTCACCAGGGTTGAATTAAGTCTTAGCCAGTTACCATGTTGTCTATAAACAGTTGACATTAAGACCACCGTCGCTACTAATGTCAGTAGATAGTTTCTTTTTATCAACTGAGTTTCAAAAGCTGAACTATCGAGCGTTATTAATGATAATACTTATGGCTATGCACTCTATTTTGATAATCTCATGATTTCGTCGTTTTGTTTTTTCCAAAGAAGCTGATCAACATGAAAATGTACGACAAGCAGTTGTATGCAAACACTGAGAACTTATAGTCATCAATCTCTTTTATATCGCTTCACACAGGATTTGCATTAAACTTGTATATTATCGCTTGTTATTGGCCTGAAACACATAATACTTGCTTGAAAAAAAAAAGGGATTCAAAGGAGTCACATCATAGTGTAAAAAGTAACAGACTTATCTGAATCCTTTTAACCCTCTGTGTCACCGTCTCTAAAGTCAACACGTTTCTATTTTCCCCTTAAAAATCATTAAAGAAAAGATGTAAGGTTCCTGTACTGTGATAATTAGTTACGCTGCAGCCTGGTCAGCATCGTTTAATTTTTTATTTTTTCTCTTCCAATGCCTATCGTCGTGG